TGGGCCTTCCTAAGCTTGTTCCTATATACAGCAAAAACCAGAACTTCCAGTTCAAAATTCCAGATCAAGATTAAATTAATTTCTGCAATTAAATAAGTTTCTGAAATTAAATGATAATAGCAGTACAACATATTGGAACTCAAGGATGCAGTGAAAGCAATCCTAGCAGGGAAATTTATAATGGTAAATTTTCATATCAGAAAAACAAAGCAATTTCAAATTACCTAATGTTGAACCCTAAGCTTTTAGAAAAAGAAGAGCAAATCAAGCCCAAAGGTCAGATGAGGGAGGAAATCAAAAAAGATCAGACCATGAATTAATGCAGCAAAGACTAAAAACAAAGAATCAACAAATTGAAGACTTGGTTCTTTGAAAGATCAAATCAAATTGAGATACACTTAGCCACCCATTTATGAATCCATGTGATTAGCAATGAAAAGGGTGACATCACAATAGATCCTGCAGAACTCCAAAAGTTTATCAAAACTACTTCAAAAACCTGTATTCTAAGAAGATGGAAAACAGAAGAAATGGACAGATTCTTTGATACATACGAATTACCAAAACTGAATGAACAACACACAAATTTCTAAATAAACCAGTATTGTCAATGAAATTGAAGACAAACCTATCAATAAAGAAAACCCCAGGCCCTGATGCATTCACTGTTGGGCAGACCTAATCAATACCTTTGCTTCTCAAACTCTTATATGAAATTGAAAGAGAAGTAATACTCCCAAATTCATTCCTGGAAGCATTACCCCAATACCAAAACCAGAGAAGGATCCAGCCAAAAAAGAGAACGATAGACCAATCTCTCTAATGAACATAGATGCCAAAATCCTCAGTAAGACACCAGCAACCAAAATGCAGGAAGTTATCAAGAAGATTATATACCATGACCAAATAGGACTCATCCCAGGTATGTAGGGATGGTTCAGTGTTGGACACTGGGACTGGCTGTGCTGAAAAAGAGCATATTCATAGTACTCTGAGGTCAAAATAAACACCACAGCTGAGGCAGTCAAGGACACAGGCTGCTGACCCCCTATTCCAGAGCAATAAAGCTGCCAGCTTTAGAGATCAAACATCCCCTAATGGACAATTATTTCGTATTTAGAGAAGCCTTTGAACTGACTCCCAAGATCTTTCTCAGTATCCCCTTCTTTTGTTTAAAAACCAAACAGGGGCTTCCCAGAGAAGTTCTTTGTCTCAACCTCCATGGAATTTCATTCTGTTAGAGGGTTTTGATCTTCCTGGAGCCCTAAAAATAATCATATCACTTATCTCTTATTTAAGATGTTTGCAGTCCACTCATTTAGGAGGTTAGGGCTAGACAAAGGCTCCAATAGTTCATTATAAACAAATCATAATGTAATATACCATATTAAGAGAGCCAAGGACAAAAACCATATGATCATCTCAACCAGTCCAACACCCACCCATTCATGATAAAAGCCCTACAGAAAATTGGAATAGATGGTCTTTATTTCAATCTGGTAAAAGCTATCTATGACAAACCAATAGATAACATCATACTAAATGGGCAAAAACTGGAGCTGGAGTGTGGTAGTGCACACTTGTAATCCCACCACTTGGGAGGCTGAGGCTGGAGGATCATGGTGAGCTCGAGGCTTACCTGGGCTACAAAGTGAGCTCAAGGTGAACCGGAACTGCATAGCAAGACCCTATTTCCAAAAGACAAAACAACCCCCCTGGAAAGAAAAGAAAAGACAAGACAATAACTGAAAGCTTTCACTCTTAAAATCAGGAGCAAGACAAGGATGTTCACTGCCACTTTTATTCAATGTAGTTCTGGAAACATTAGCTAGAGCAATTAAATAAGAGAAAGAAATAAAACAATAAGGATAGGAAAAGAAGTTAAATTACCATCATATGCAGATGACATGATACCCTATATAGAAGACCCCAAATTCGCTATAAAAATGTTTTTAGATTTATTAAACAAATTCAGTAATGTAGCTGGATAAGTCAACACACAAAAGTCAATAGTATTCCTGTACACAAATAACAAACTTGTTGACAGAAATTAGGGAACACTTTACAAAAACATTTTAAAAATGCAATACCTAGGAATCAGTCTAATGAAGAAGGAAAAGACCTTTTACACTGAAAAATTTCAATACCTTGGAAAATGAGATTGAAGAGGATATCAGGAAATGAAAAGATATCCCTTGTTCTTGTGTACGATGAAGCAATATAGTGAAAATGCCCATTGTTCCAAAATTGTTATTTAATTATCAGATTTAATGCAATCTCAATCAAAATACCAACAGCATATCTCACAGAATTAGAGAAAACAATCCTAATATTTGCAACTAGAAGAGACCTAGAATAGCAAAGGCAATTCTTGACAACAAAGTCAAGACTGAAGGCATTATAATCCCTGACTTGAAATTATTCTACAAAGCCACTGTGATAACAATAGCATGTTACTGGCAAAAAAAAAAACAAACAAACCTGAGGATGAATGGAATAAATTAGAAGCAGCAGCAAAAACTTCAAACACACCCAGCTACTTTATCTTTGACAAAAGAGCCAAACACCTACACTGGAAGAGACATAAACTCTTTAATAACTGGTGCTGGAAAAACTGGGTTGACATACGCCAAAGGTTAAAACTAGGCCCATGTCTTTCACTATGCACTAACGTAAAATCAAAACCAAAATGGATCAAAGACCTAAATGTTAAAACAGAAACACTGAATCTGCTAGAAGATAGAATAGAAAGAACTCTTGAAGACATTGGTGTAGGCAAAAACTTCATGGACAAAACCTCAGTTGGACTGGAAATATCACAAAGAATCAACAAATGGGATTTCATATTATTAAGAAGCTTTTGCACAGTAAAAGAAACCACTGACAGTGAAGAGACATTCCACAGTGGGGGAAATTTTTTTTGTCAGCTGTTCCTTAGACAAAAGATTAATATATAGAATACATGTAGTTTTTTTTTATAAAGCATTTATTTATTTATTTATTTATTTATTTATTTATTTAGTGCAGGGTATCACTACACAGCTCAAACTAATAGTGATCCTTTTGTCTCAGCCTCCCCAGCACTGGGATTACAGGTGTGTGCCATCATGCTGGTGTGCTAGGCATGTGGTACTGGGGAATCAAACTTGGGTTCTTGAGTTTGTCAGGTGGGCGCTTAGACCACTGAGCTATCTAGAACATATGAAGAACCCTATATAGAACATATGAAGAACTAAAAAAAAATAAGAACCCCAAATTTAAAGACCCAGTGCAAACTCAGCAGGTGAAACGAGCAGACACTTCTCAGATATATATAAGTGGCAAATAAATGTATGAAAACATATTCAACATTACTGCTTATTTGACAGATGCAAATGAAAACAACACTGAGATTCCATCTCACTCCAGAAAAATGGCTATTATCAAGAAATCAACCAATAACAAATGCTGGTAGGACTATAGGGAAAAAGGAATCCTCCACTCTTGGTGGGCGTGCAGGTTGGTGCAACCACTGTGGACATCTTTGTGGATTTTCTTCCAAAAACTAAAACTTGAGGTTCCATCTCACCTAGCTATTCCCCTTCTTGATATCTTCCTCAAATGAAGAGCATCCTACCACAGCAATATATGTGCACCATGTCTATAGTGGCATGATTTGTGATATGTAAATCTTGGAAATAGCCCAAATGCTCATCAGGCAATGAATGGATAAAGAAGCTGTTTTTGTTTGTTCGTTTGTTTGATTTATACAGTGGAGTACCATGCCATAAAGAAGGACAAATGTGAGACATTTCTAGCTAAATGGGTGCACCTGAGACCATTCTTAAGTGAAATTTGATGTACATGTTCAAGTGTCACATGGTTTCTCTGGTGTGAGAAACTGAAAATGTACATGAGGCCCAAAGTGTATATATAACAGATTTTGGGAAATGACAAGCGTTCAAATGAGACGAGGAATGGGGTGAGGGAGGGGAAAGAAAGAAGGAATAAAAAAATAGAAGGAAAAATGGAAACAAAGCTTTTGTAAATAAAGGGAAGAGGGGTTCAAGAGAGTGGAGCAGAATGGGAAAAATAAGAAAAAGCAGACTATATCATGCATATACAGGTACAAACTCCTTATGATGAATGTCATCATTATGTATATCTAAAATGTACCAATAAAATAAAAGTAAAATATGTATTTCGATATATATCCACAATATCATATACAAAAAAGTATGTACCAGGTAATTTGTAACAGGGAAATGATTGGAAACTATTGGATAATTTTCTCTTTTGACAGAATAATTTTTCAAATGACTATTAAGTTATGAGCATATGCAAACTGATGTTAACATCATAGACCTGGTGGTGATAAACCTTTTTAAATATTAATTAATTAATTAATTAGGTACAGGGTCTTGCTGTGCAGCTCAGACTCATAGTGATCCTCCTGTCTCAGCCTTCCCAGTGCTGGGATTACAGCTATGCGCTACCACACCCAGTTTTGATGGCTGGCACAGTGCAGGGGCTGGCACGGCAATGCAGTACTGGGGACTGAACCCAGGTCCTTGTGCGTGCCAGACAGGCACTTAGACTGCCAAGCTATCTCCCTGGCCTACTCTGTGTCTTCTTATCTCAGCTTCATCAGGCTGCAGGTGGTGGGTGTGCAGATGACTCATGCTGTTGTTAAGCGTCCATGCATCTAGTGAGTCAGCTGGTGGCTTCTGCTGCTGTGAACTGTCCACAGTGCCAGTATTTACACCATAGAAAATGGCAGGTGTTGCAGATTAAGAGTCTCTCCAATCCCAGAGGAGGTGAAAACATTCCCCATTAAACTGCTGATAGCAGAGGACTGTCTGGTGACCTTTATCAGATTAGCTTTACTAATCTCAAAGTTCATGAGTGGGGCCACAAGGCAGCCTCTGGCCTCCAAAGCTGTGCTAGCCATTGTGCTGTGGGAAAAGAGCATGTCTTGAGAAACCTGTAACTAGAGATAAGCAAAAATGGGCAGCTCCTACCTGTCACAGACGTCGGGAGTGTGTTGGCCTTTTTCAGCTGTTCTCGGCGCTCAAGCTGGGACACGGCCGTCTCTGGCTTTTCCTCTGGCTGAGCGGTGGACTTGTGCAGCGAACCTGTTCTGCTGCCAGGCTGTGTGCTGCTGCTGGCCTGTGGGGCAGAGCCGGAAGGTACGTTCTCAACTTCACATACACTGACTATGCCACATGGGGCTTCCACAACCAACAGGAAGCACCAGTCGCACTGGAGAGCAGTGTGTGCTCAGCCTAGCCTCAGAGAAGGAGCCATCAGTGCCAGCGGCCCAAGGAGAGCCCCAGGAAACTGAGCAGTCCAGACACGGAAACAAAGCTCTATCTGTCTACTGTGTAAATAAAATCATTTATTTCTCACAGGCAATAGTGCTCCCCCATCTAAGAAGGGTATATTTTAGTAGTATCCTCATGAGGATAGTACTAACCCCTATATAGACCATGCTTCACTTGTACCCTAGAGCTCAGCAAGCTCTGCATATGGTATTTTTCCTTTCTTTATTAAGTCAAGAATTTTTCCTTGTTTGCACAAAGCAAGCACTTTACAGCCTCTCTTGTGGGTTTGTAACTCACTAATCTTCTGTTTGGGGGCCATTCTTACAGCAGGGTTGCCTGAACACAAGCACTCTGATACTGTTCTAATCAGTCTGGTAGCAGAGACCACTATAGGAAGGTGATATGAATAGCAGATAGGCATTAAAGGGGTGCAATGAGAAGCAGTGGTACCCCACTACTCAGTACAAAATTTAAAATGTACCAATAGTTACTTCTGAAAGGTCCACCTAATGTTGCTGGACCACAGCTGGCCTCCAGGAGCACAAACCATAGAAAGGGAAAACTTTGATAGGAGGAGCTGCACTAACTGGTGTTGTGTGGGTCACTGCTGTAAACACACCACAAATTCTGCAAAGCAAGTTCATCCAAGAGCATAGAGCATTATTTACTCTTCTGTCCTTCATAAACTCTACTCTTCCTGATTAGTTTTTTTTTTTTTTTTTTTAAATCAATCCTTGTGGCCTAAAAGCTAAGGGGCAGCAGAATTAAAGTTGAAAAGCATGCTACTCACATTCTCTTTGGAGAGCTTCTCTGCCTGCTTGGCCTCACGGGCCTGCTTCCTTTCCTCACGGGTGGCTTGCTGCTCACGAAAGCCCCTCTGCTTCTGCAGCGCTAACGTTATCCACAGTGGCTGGGCGGTTTCCACTTTCTCCGAAAGTTTGGAGCCATCCAGAGAGTGCCTGCTTTGAAGCACTGGCTTCTCTGCAGGAAAGATGCAGATGGTCTGCTGTGAGCTGGAGCTGGGTCAGTTCCTGGCCCCTTCAACTGGCAGCGTGTGAGTAAGTTTATGAAACATTCCTGCCTGACACAAAAATGTGCCCATGCCTGTGGGACTCTCATTGATGGGATTGTGACATCTTTGATCAAGAGAAAACCCAGGGCATTTCTCTTCCCTAGAAATGGGAGAAGTTACTTTTTTTTTAATTAAAAAATTTATTTATTTAGTATAGGGTCTCACTACACAGCTCAGAGTTGTCGGGATCCTCCTGTTTCAGCCTCCCCAGAGCTGGGATTACAGGTGTGTACCACCATGCCTGGTTTCAGTGGCTGGCACTGCGGTACTGGGGATTAAATCTGATCCTTGCACTTGCCAGGCAGGCACTAAGACTGCTGAACTATCTCCCTGACCCTGACAAAAGTTACTTTGCAGGAAAATAAAATCTCATGCTGGTCAGGCATGGTGGTGCACATACTTGGGAAGCAGAGGTAGGAGGATTGCTGAGTTTGAGGCCAATCTGATCTACATAGTGAGACCCTGTCCAAAAACAAAACAACAAAAACTCATGCTTACAAGACAGCCATGCAGTTGTGTGGTTCTGACTTTTAACTCACTGATTTAATGAGATTTATTTTTAGCAATGGAAGCCTCCCTCCAATATCCTATGTGGAACTCTAGTGCTTGAAAGTCAAAAGAGGCACTGCCCTTCTGCCTAATGGGGCTGGGGGGGGGCAGCAAGGCTCAAGGGGACACAGTGACAAACCCAAGACTCTTGTTCAGTGCTTACCTCTGGTGCAGGGAGTGCTCGGGGCCAAAGCAAACAGCACTGTGCACAGGCTGTCAGCAGTCAGCATGCAGGCAGAGGCTGCATTCGCTGGCTTAGCCTTCCAGTCTTGGTACCCACCCCCATCCCCGCAGGTGGCTGGGTATGTAGAGAGTACAAGGCTCTGAAACAGAGCAGACCTGGCTTTGATCTCATGTGACCTTAGAAAAGCTGCTTACCCTCTAAGTTCTAGTTTTCTAATCTATAAAGTTGGGATAATGGCACATGCTTTATCAAGTTGCCATTGAAATGAGATACTGGTTATCAGAATGTTTAGGACAGCACTTGGCATATATTAGTCATTCTACAAAAGTAAGCTGTAATTGTTTACGGGACAAAAGTCCCTTCTTCTTTTGGGTACAATTTATTTACTTGCAGAGACAATCATTCTAGTACTAAATTCCTTACTATCTCAAAGAAAAAGGGCTCACAATAATCCTGCTCTGAGAGAAGACCTGGGGCCCTCCGGATCCTGAACAGACCCAGAGCGCAGGCCCGGTGAGTGAGTGAGACGACTGAGGGCCATGGGATCCTGAACAGACCCAGAGCGCAGGCCCAGTGAGTGAGACAACTGAGGGCCGCGGGATCCTGAATAGACCCAGAGTGCAGGCCTGGCAGAGTGAGTGAGATAACCCAGGGACTGGCGGGATCCTGAATAGACCCGGAGTGCAGGCCCAGCAAGTGAGTGAGACGACCTGGGGCCTGCGGATCCTCATTTGACCCAGGCTGCAGGCCCAGCACAGAACCCTTCAGCAGAACTCCCTGAAAAGAGGCTAGAGGCAAGACCCA